CTGAAAGAGCATATGAAAATATGGGACATTTTGGAAGGTTTGCACATCTGTCTATCAACACAAACACTTTCCACAACACATCCATGTGTTCATCTAACAGTCCCCTGTTTCATTTTTGTCTTGTGTTTTGGAATTCCCCATATTCACTTCCTTAACGTCTCTGTCTTCAGCTAATTTTCTGCACCTTTTGCCTCATCCCAAGAGCAGGGTTGTGGTTTCCCACCTGCTAGACTGTCCCTTTCTGTCCCCCCATGGTTTCGTTATGAGGTTTGTCAGGGTACTGGTGAAATCTTCGTAGTCACATGGCAGGCAGCTGCACTCAGAGATAGGTCACATGGTTAGGTGGGTAACCAGAACAGACGGGAAAGGACCACGGGACAGTCAGAGGAACCAGACAGCACTCTTCACTTTACAGAATGATGAACATAATAGCTGGGGCGTATTTCAAGAGTCAGCAGTAAGAGGAGATACTGTTTGTGATGCCACGTAATAATGCTGCTACTTTTCATGTAAAGATTAAATGGATTCTTGTGCCTTTCTTGAAATGCTCTGTCACATCATTTGAGTCTGATGAATTCAGTAATCACAAGCTAGACTGGGGATATTTTATTTTCTTGTCTTTGTGAATTTTCAAGCAGACTTTTTGGATCACTCTACAATAACAACTTCATAAAATTTTGACGCTTAACTAATAGATTTCCATACTGTACTTTCACAAACTGAAACCAGTTGCTGTGTCAGAGATTGGAAATCAGTAGCCAGATGTTTGGCTTTGCTTTGAAAATAGTACCATTTCTTCTTGTGTCTTTGCAAATCATTGCCATTTAAACAAATGAAATGAACAATGTGTCACTAGTTCACAATCACCACCTTCTTCTTTTCTCTGTTTCAATGAAGTTATTTGCCCTGGTGGTGTTTGCCTGCATCACAACAGAGGGATACATCAACCCTGCCCATAGTCCAGAGGCAAAGTGCATCTTCAACCAGAATGACTCGGCGTGTCACTATGCTGTCGGCATCGGGGTGATTTCCTTCCTGGCTTGTGTAGCCTTCCTGGTGTTGGATGTTTACGTGCCTTTTATGAGCAATGCACAGGAAAGGAAGCATGCTGTCCTGGTAGACCTGGTGTTCTCAGGTGAGTAGCAGCTTTAATGATTCTTAAGTGCATTAAAGCTGCACTAATAAATATTTTTATGTTAATAGTGGATCAAATGACCATCTGTAATTTGAAATGTGTCGCTAATAGAGACTAACTCAGAGAATTATCACCTGTCTCTGCTGTTCCTCTCAGCTGTATGGAGTGTATTTTAGCACACTACTGCTTTTGTTCACTATCACCAGAAAAATGTTAATCTTTAAAGCATCAATTTGACATTGTTTTTTATTTTTCGTTCATTAACACTGACAAACATCACATTTTGACTCTGGCCGGGGTGGCACCAGGGGTGGCTAATCAGATTCTGGGGGTGGCTGGGGCTCTTCCCATGAGACAAATTTGGCCACTAGGTGGTGAGTAGTGGTGTGGTTAGCAAACTAAAGACATACATTTCCCTTGGAAGTTCATAGAAACAAAATGGAGTGAATATTGGACTGACTCCAAATTACTGCTAATATTGCTCAGCATTTCCTGAATATGTAAATAGCAGCTGTTTGCTAACATGTTCACCATGTTAGACTAATATTAAAATGTTGTGACTGCACCTCATTTGACTGAATCCTAGTGGCAACAGACATTAACGTCAACATTTAAAGTTGGATTAGATTTTTGGTAAAATCTAATCCAATCTACTGTACTGCTCCTCTGTGTGACTATCTCTCCCTGTAAGTCCTCTGTTAGTTTCACATCTTCATTTACATCTGAACCTCTTCATACAGAAAGGCTCTTAGTATTGGTGTAGTAAGACAGACCGCTGCCTGTTTTCCTGACCTAACATAACATGTATTATTCATTGTTCCACACAGTAGATGACGAGTGAGCAGCGGGGTGGAGGGGGAGGATGGCTTCACAGATTTTGATTAACTCAACAAACATCAGCTATAGATAACACATTCACACCCGTTCTTCAAGGAAACAAGGAAGTGATAGTGGGGAAAAACAGCTTGTGGTCATTTGAGCAGACAGAGACAGGAGAGCTTTTTGCATTCAGCTGACGCTGTTTTTGTTCCTTTGTGTGTTGTTCACAGGAGTTAGCTCCACATATCAGGGGTTTTCAGCTGAACACTTTTGACATCTTTTCATGCTATGACGTAAAACAATTGTTTGTGCATCTGTGCCTCTTGTGTTTTCTAGGGGTGTGGACCTTCCTGTGGTTTGTGTGCTTTTGCTTTTTGACCAGTCAGTGGGGTCTCACTCATGATGAAAGCAGTATCCCTCATGATGCTGCACGTGCCGCTGTGGCCTTCTCATTCTTCTCCATCGCTACCTGGGTGAGCAGGACTGCTGCTGTATTTTTTTCACTATAAACGGCTCGGATTTGAGCCTTTCTTTGCCCTGATCTCTAGTTTGAGTAAGGCTAACAAGATGATTGGTGACTAGAAAGAACAATACTGAAAGTGTATCATAGTTTTTTATATCAGCTATTGTATTTTTCCTATATTAAAGGAATAGTTCAAGAGTGCTGAAAATTTGCTTATGTGCTTTCTTCTGCCAAGAGTTATATGAGAACATCACCACCATTCACTTGGTGTATGAATCTGGAGCCATAAGATGATTAGCTTAGCTTAGCTTAGCTTTGGACTTGGTGCAGTGACATGCTCTATTCCACAACCTGTCCTTATCCACAACAAGCTAAAATGTGTTAGTTGTTGAGCATTACAAATAATGGTGGAAGGATTTTGTTACCTCCGGACAGGCCTTAATCTAATCAGATGCTGGCTGTAGCTCCATATTTATTGTACCGCCATAAGAGTAGCAGTGATCTTCTCATCTTATTCTAAGCAAGAAGGTGAAAAAGTCTCCTTCCCAAAATATCAAACTGTTTTGTTAAAGCAACTGCTGGCTTCAGTTCATTCTAGTATGGTACAAAAACTTGCTAGAAAAGTGCTTTAGATACAGTACTTATGTCCCTGAGCACTGCATTGTATTTATTGCCAAATGTTTGTATGGTAACACAGCTGAAGTCACAGTACAAAGTCCCCCAGGTTGGTGCTTTCAGGTGCTGGTGGGAAACTCTGGCATTTGACCCAGCAAACTCTTAATGCAAGAAATTATAACAAAGCTGATTTCCTATAGACCTTTCATCTGTGTAGCTGATGTATTGTCCTGTTAAACATGTTCTTACTGTTTGTCATCTGGACTTGATTGAACAGACAGCAAAAGTGTCTTTCAGCTGGCTTTAAGTTGGTCTGTTACTATGTCTTCTTCTTATTCTTCTTTTTTTTTTGGTGCCATATTTGACCCAACTCATGCCATTACAAGACACCACCAAAAGTCTTGCATTAACACATACACAAAGCCACTTGATAAATATCATGCACAGTACATCTATATGAATTCAAGCAACATATGTTTATCTGTGACATCTGACACCAACTAGCAGAAGAAAGAAACTTTTGCTACGTATCTACTTGGCATCATATCTCAAATGGTACAAGTCTGAGATTCGCACCATTATTTGAACGTACCATGTAGAAGTCACATTACAAAGTGGCAGTAATGTGGTGTTAATGTAATCTATTTTTAGACTGAATGTTAATGTGATAGTTTACCTCCCCTGAGCAAGTTTCAAGTATACTGGTGAGAGAAAGGCATCCAATGACCTAAAAGTCTGAAGTATACTTTGGAACATCCTCAGCAGTGTTGCCATTCACAGCGATGTGCTGAAGTACTGGAAAAGTCTTCACATTAACTGTAATGATGTCTATAATTTCATCTCATTGTGCAGGGAATCCTAGCCTACTTTGCCCTGGGTCGTTTCCGCCGTGGTGTTAATGAGGTTACCATCCCAACCTACACAGAGCCGCCATCGGATCTTCACACCCCCTACCCCCCGACGTACGCCCCTTCTTCCTACAACCCTACTACCTACACCCCTACCACGTACACCACCTATCCCAGCAATGTGCCCGACATGCACCAGCAGCCTCCCTTCACCACGAACCCGCAAGCGTAAGGCGACGTTGGCTTCCAGCCGCCCAACTACCGAGACAACAGACAAGGTGGTGTTCCGGGTCATCTTTAGGTAGACTGGTTGTAGTTGCACGGCAGAGTCACAGAGCTGGATCACATTAATGTGGTTTAACATTTGATTTAACACACCTTTCCACGTGCTGCCAGATCTGTGAAGCTGAACGGTGCAACTACAACCTAGAAACGAGGGACACTGTTTTTTACATCAGAGGGTCTGTGGTCAAATCATCAGACATCAGGCTGACTGCTGAGATTAGTGCCGATGATTGAGTTGTCTGACCTTAGTCCTGTGTGCAGAGACACAACATTTACCTCAAATGGGCTGATCCTGAAGGTTAGAGGGAGATAGAATGAACCCAGGAGGTCAAAGGTCACATAATGTGACTTCATCATGCTCCAGCCAGAGTGGAAGAGGCCAGCACTAAATGTGTTTCTCTGTTGGAACTTGACAGTGTGTATTTGTATATAGATGCCACTATACAAAGCTGCCATTTTACTGGTTCTGTGTGCCTGGTTTTCTTTATTTGGTTTAGTGGACTTTTTTCTCCTTCATGGCAGTTATCTTGAGGACCTGTAACAGTTTAGGGTGCTGTTAAATTAATTTAACAAATGTTTTTGTTGGAGTAGAGTACAGTGGGAAAAGACCACTATAAAATGAAATGTGACTGAGTTGTAACTGGTGAAATGTGGGCTCTGTAGAGATCATGTAGTTAGGTTTATTAGCTATATAACCGTCAAGTCACCTTTGAAAGGGTTTATAGGTTTGCCACCTCATCGACCAGTGTTTTTAAGACCACTTCAATAAAATGTTGTCATTGATAAGACATGCGCCAAACTCCAGAGGTGTTTACTGGGTGTTCATAGGCAGTGCGTGTTGATAGTTGCCCCTTTAGACCTGTAGCTAACACTC